TGGGAAATGTTCCTCTGGGGGGAGTTGGGGTGGGGGGAGGGGGTGCACCTCAATGACCCTTTCACATTCACATTTCCTAGATCTCAACAACTGCTTTCCATTCCCAACCCCCACCCCTGTCACTACTCAGAGCCTCCACCTCTCTCCCCTCCTACAAAGGAAACTCTCTGAATGCCCAAGACAAACTAACCCTTCACTCTTCGGCATCACCAGGCATCTGAGGGGCATTAGGGGGAGGGACCTCCACTCCTTGACCATCTGTTGGCATTAAATTTGTGTATCTGTTGTGGGGGGGAGATGTTCATCTGAAGAGAATTATTGGTTGGCAGTGGCCTAGATGGGGGAAGGAATGAAAGCTGATGCCCCCATAGCTGGGGACCCTAATTGTTCTGTGACCTGGTAGGGGCAGGAAACTGTATGGAAGGAGACACAGTGAGAACCCTACCCAGTTGTGGGGATATATGCTCCTGCCATTTTTCTATCTTCATTCATTGTGCTGAGCTCAAAGTCCCCGGTCCAACAGTTTGAGTGTGGGAAGGTGACTTGAAGAGGGAGCCATGTAGGATGTTGGGGAGGGGACCTCTCACTGGGAGCTGTTCTAAGGATTATCTGGTTGGGAGAGAGGATTTGATACATCCCCTTTTCCCCTTCCTCATTGCCCACATCAGGGCTGCTGTTGACCTCTTGACACCCCCTGGTTCTGCTGGCCAGGCTGGGGAAGGAGCAGGAGGGTGAGAGTCCTAGGTTAACCCAGGGACCCTTGTATATAATGGGGTGGGACTATTGAGTAATCTCTAAGCACTTAGAGAGAATGTGAATCCCATCCTTCCTGCTTTGTAAGGAGGTGGAGAGATAGGGAGACAGGGAGAAACTCCTTTCTCCCCTTCCCCCTATCATGAATGAACTCATCTTCTTCCTCCTCTCCCCTTTCCTTCCTCAAGTCAGGGAAGGGAAAGGAATACGATATATATATAAAAAAAATCCATACTGTGATAACTTCCATCCTTCTCATTGTCATGAGCCATCCCAAGATGCGTCTGTACAATAGCAACCAAAACCAAATTGGGACCCTCCGTTGTTGGGGGTGGGGTTTGGGAGGGCAGGGTGGGAAGAAGGGCTGTCTGTCTCCACCCCTTGCTCCCTTCCATTCCTTATCCCATAAAGGCAGAAGACTGTTAATCTAGAGAGCTCGAAAAACCCAATCCAGCCCCCCTACTTCTCGAGCTAAACCTAGAAACAAACTTAAACAGAGAGTGAGACAAAACAAGAGAGGTGGGAGAGCAAGTGAGAGAGGTGTCCAATACAGAGGAGAAAACAAAAATAGCAAAAAAAAAAAAGCAGTTCTTTATAATTTAATATTCTATTTTAATAAAGGCATTTATTACCATATAAATGTAGCAAAGAACCTGGGCTAATATGGAAAAAAAGACTTTTTATTAGGTAATTTATTATATGAGAAGGATATTTTATTTTATGATAAAGTGATCCTTAAAAAAATAAAAAAACTTTAGAAGGTTTAGAATATATGTAGGGAGAGAAGAAGAAGAAAAATAATACATTTGTATTCAGAGTTAAAGCTTAAAAAGTGTTTTTAATATATGTTTGGGTTTATGTTCCTTTTTCTTTTCCCCATTTTTTTCAGGGGGTGGGGTATGTCATTTGGTTTTCCAGAGGATGTTTTAGAGGTGTTTAAAGCGGGCCTGACCCCTCCCAGAACGTGGGAGAGAGGAGGCAGGGGAGAAAGTTAGGTTGAGGAATTAATCCTGTCTCCTTGGCCATTCTTCTGGGAGAGTCACCCATTGGTGCAGGTGATTCAGTTTCATTCAGTGGGCCCTCCCAGCCCCGTACCTCCCCCAACCCCCTCATTGGGGCTAGACAGGCTGAGCCAGATGAAGTAGGGGATGAACAAGAAACAGAGAATGAGAGGATGGGGAACTCTCCAATGTACCCCCACACTCTGACCAGGGGGTTATGGGAACAATGCAGGAAAGGAGGGGATCCCAGTTGAGGGGGGGGACCCTGAGAGAGGGAGAAGGGTGAAAAGATTCAAGAGAAATAGACTTTTTTTTTAACCAAAAAAAAAAAAAACCGAGAGAAGAAAGAGAAGCTGAGGGGTTTAAAAGAAAAAATTACTACAAAATAATAATAATTATTAATAATTCAAATTTATTTCATATAATCCTAGAGAAAAGAGAGAGAGAGAATTACTAGTTACTGAGTAGATGATATACAGATAGCTTAAAGTTTAGTAGCATTGAGGACCTCTGGGTCCAGTAGAATGTATAAAAGACATAAAGAAAAGGAAAATAGAGAAGGAGGAAGAGGTGGCCACGTCTACCCTGAGTCCCTCCCATCTTCAGATACCCAGTGAGGGCAGTTTCCTGGTTAGACTTAGGACTTCAGGGGGGAAGGGGGAGGGGAAGGGAGGGAGTTAATTCTGAAAATTCCTGTTTTCCATTTGCAGGGTAAATTGGGGTTTGGGGGTAAAGGAGGTTTGGAGGCTCCTTGGAAGGATAGAAACTGATCTTGGAACTAGATAAGGCTGGACTGGATGAGGAGCACAGGGGAGGCAATTCTTTAGTTTTTCCTTCACTGTTCTAGTCCCCCACCCCTGAAACTATGTAGGGGACCATTGGGTCCTGCTCTGTTCCCACATCTGGCAGGCCATTACATTAGCCCATTCCAAAGGGATCTCTCTTTTCCTTGATCTTGGAAGAAGAGAAAACGCTGCCCAAATCCATTCAGTGCTAGCATCTCCCAACTTCTAATGTGGGAAGTCCTTTTGAAAGTTTGACCTCCATCCCACTTGCTTTAAGTTTAGATGCTTTCCCCAGTATCTCACCATCTCCCCCTGCCCTCCTACACCCGTCCATCCATCACAGTCCCAAAGGTCCCACTTCAGGCCCTGGTAGGTCATCTCCAACCCCACCTTTGTCTTCTTGTGAGATTCAAGGAACTGCAAAGTTCCACTGGGTCTGGAATGCCCTTCCACCTCAGATCCTCTCCCTACCCACACCCTTTAAAATCAACCAACAGTGAAATAAGAGGAATGGATGTTAAATTTTTAGGAAAGACTTCCGGTTGGGTATTAGGGTTAAGGTCTTTCCATCTCTAACAACACCCACACCCTAAATGGGTTGAACCATAGCCAACTGGTACAGAAGCGGGTGAAGGGCAATAATACCCCCAGAAGGCCTCTGCCACCCTCCTCTGGTTCAGCTATATCCATGAACTTTAGGTTGGGGTGTCAGAGGAGTGAGCCAGCTGGGGGAAGCAAGTCTTGCTTCTTTAATCTCAAAAGTACCCTTCTCACCCCACCTTCCAAAACCGGGCCCTGGTTCATTTAACCCTTTGAGGCTTGCATCAAGGAGGAAACTGATTTCTTTAGTACTTGCCTCCCCTCAACCCCTAATCAAATCAGGCCCCTTCCCTCCCTTCCTTCTCCACCACAGGGGGAATTCTCCTTCCCAGGATGGGGTTAGGTGAAGGAGTAGCCCTCTCCCTCCTACTGCCCTGAGAGGGAAGAGAGGGATGCTGGGTTGCTCCTCACTGCCCAGATTCACACATCCCCATCCCCACCTTCCCATTTAGTCCATCTTTTCCACCAGGAACAGATTTCCCATCCACTCTGCTGTTTGTCCTGGGACCCCCAACAGTATGGGATGGTAGGGGTTTTACTCCCAGGACAGGGGGAGGGGGTGTCTTCCCACAGTAGAATGTAGAAGTAGGATTGTGGTCAGACTTAATTTGAGGCGTCTAGGGAAGACAAGACGAATTCGAATTTGCGAAGGAAAAAGGAAACTAAATAGGGGCAAAAAACCAACCCATGAATAATGGAGTCAGGACGATGTTGCACAAAATGCAGAGAAACCAAGAAAGGGGGTGGGGAGTTAGTGTGTTAAATGTGCTATTAAGAACTTAATTTTATTAAAATTATTATTACTTAAAGACCCGGCCTCTTTTCTGCTCTAGCAGGTGTGTGTGCTCGTGTGTCTCAGTGTCCTCATCTGTAAAAAGGAGTTGGGGGGAATAATTTTGTGTGTGTGTGTGTGTTTTAGTGGGGAGGGCAGGGAGAACAATTTGAGGGGTGGGTTCTGGGTACATTTTGGTTTGGGGACTCCTTGCCTACCAGTGGGAGTTTGGTCTCTCCGTTTCTCTGTCTGTCTCTCTCTGTCTCTGTGTGTGTCTCTCTCAACGCTCGTCCTGCCTTCATGACTTTGCCTCTCCTTTGGATTTCCAAGTACTTAATCGCCCTAACCTGCTTCCTTCCTACCACCAACCTGTGGAGAGGACTTTTGTGCACCAAAAGACATTTGGAAGTGAGCCCTGCCTTCCAGAAGCCCAGGCCAGCTTCTTCCAGACTATATTCAGGAGGACAGAGGATTGACTATATGGGGGAGAGAAGGCAGGAGATGGGACACAATAATTATCCCCACATGCACCAGACATATCAGCTTTCCTCTTTAGTTGTTGAGGAAAGAAAGTGAGCTTAGGTGTCCTGTCCCCTGAACTTCATTACCCACTACCCTGAAAGATAAGGACCTAGATACTCCCTACCTCCTTTGCCCTCCTGCCCATCTACAGCTGGGGTTTAAGGTGCCTGGCCCCCAGAACCCTCTTCTCTACTCCTCCCACTGCTGTATAGGTGACCTCAGCTCTTGGCACCAATGCCCAGGGCACCAGATGGTTCCTGCCAACGCTGTTTCTTTTGTCTTGCCTTCTAGGTCCCCTTCCCCCCTCCCTCCCACCTGCCCCGAGGATTGGCAGAGGGGAGGGTGGGCACCTCCCCGCCTCCTTGGCACCATCCCCAGACCATAGGACTCCAGAGACAGCTGGCATGGGGGGGGCAGGCTCATGGAGAGGATGACAGAGGCTTGGGGGCTTCAAAGGAGATTTTAGGGAGGGGCCCTGAGCTAGAGGGAGAAGGAAGGATGCTGAGGGCCCATGGGTGGGTGGGGAGAGAGGGGGAAGGGATGAATGCAAGGGAGCAGCAACAGGTGGCCCTTGTTACAAAACAGTTTTTATTGGTGGGATGGGGAGGGGGGGCATTGCTGGAGGGGCTCAGGGGAACACAGCAAAAAAAGCAGGCAATGGAGTCCTGGATTCCTGGATGAGTGAGAGCGAGGTGCTTAGGGCTAGGTGACCTTCTCAAAGGGCACAGAAATATCCCAGAAGCTAATTAATCTTGTGTACAGGAGAACGGACATACAGGAGTAATACGGAAGGGGTGTGGAATTAGGCTATAGAAACTCCCCTAACACTCTAAGAAAGTGATCAGTCACAGATCCCCAAAGCCAACCAGGAATGGCTTTCTAGACATTTGGGTCCCTCTCTCTCCCTCTGCTTAGCGGAGGGTGTAACTGAAGGGGCTGAGACTCATGGGGAGAGAATGATGGGAAATTCAGGTCAAATGGGAGAGGCTTCAGGCCAAGATACTCAGGTCACCAGCTGGCTTCAGAGGCTGATACAACAAGCCTTCTTCTCCTCAGACCCCAGCTCTTGCCCGGGTTGGGCACTGCCCAGAGTGATTGCATTGGCACGGGCATTGTTCTGCCGCTGCTTGGACACCTTGGTGAAAATCTCTGGGAAGGCAAAGGATGGAGGTCAAAGGTCAGGTCAGTTCACCACTGTCTAATTCCCTTTCTTAATCACTGGGAGCAGCATGACTTCAAAGGAAGTTGGTCAAAGGAGCAGGAGAGTTTGGGCAGCAGGGTTACATCTCTGGGAGCTATAGTGACCAGGACTGGTGAGCTCTTTCCCCCAACTAATAGGCAAGTTTTGAGAAGAAGAGGTCAGAGGAAGCTTCCTAGGGGAAAGGTAAGGGATACATATATGAAGAGAGAGACAGACAGACAGACAGACAGACACAGGAAGAGAGACAGAGAGGTTAGGAGCCCTAGAAGCTGGGTGTAGCAGGGGAGTAGGCTGAGATCTTGGTGAGATGCAGGGGGAACTCAATTATCTGAATTTCTAGCTGAGACCCAAGAGAGCATCACATCAAGAAGAGTCCTGAGAGTGAGCAATGAGAAGGGATAGTGGCCTGTAGAGACATACAGAGAATCCTACAAACCTTTGAGGACAGTTTCGAAGGCCAGCTCTACATTAGTGGAGTCAAGAGCTGAGGTTTCAATAAACAGGAGTCCATTATTTTCTGACACAAAAAAAGGAAATCAGTAATTGGCATTAATTTGATAATCAGAGGAAAGCCTCGGAAACTCCTAACAACAACCCTGGTCATGCCCACTGAAATTAAGCTGTCAGGACAGTGCATCCACTGATAATAAACTTACCATTAAGGGGAATAGGCATGATAAAAAAGATCATTTTAATCTTAAACAAATTCCTAAATTTCCATAGGTTATTCTGTGAGTCTACTCAAATGTTAATGTATCACTAAACAACGATGATAAACAAAATTAGTGCCTTTGTTAACAACAACAGTGTCATTTGGTGTCATACAACGGTTTCCTCTGACACCTGTTCACTGGATCATAAAGTGAAATCTCCCAAAGAGACTTTCCTTAAGCACAGATCTGGCCACTTTCCAGACTCATTGGATATTACTCCCCGTCTAGTATTCTTCAAGCTGGCCAGACCAGCCTTCTCTCCATTCCTCACTCGTGACACTCCATGTCCTACCTCAATATCTTTGAATTAGCTATCTCCCATTCCTGGAATGCGCTCCCTTCTTACTAATGCCCCCTAGAGCTTCCCTTTTCCTTTAAGATGCACCTCAGAAAGTTATCTTCTGCATGAAGCTTTTACTGATTCTCTTCTCACCCCCACAACTTTTAATTCTCTCCCCTCCCAGGGTACCTTGTATTTAAGTACTTCGTGTGTGTGTGTGTGTGTGTGTGTGTGTGTGTGTGTGTATGTACATATATGCATTTCTTAACTTTACACTGAGCAGCTAGGTAGTGCAGTGGATAGAGTGCTGGGTCAGGAGTCAGAAAGACTGGCCTCAGATACTTGCTAGCTGTGTGACCCTGGGCAAGTCACTTGACTGACTGCCTTACCAAAAACAAAACCAAAAAAAAAAAAAAAGGAGCTGGAAAGAAGATGGAAATGGCGAACCACTCCAGTATCTTTGCCAAGAAAACCCCAAATGGGGTCACAAAGAGTTGGACCTCATTGAAAAATGACTCAACAGCAACATAAAACTTTATATTTATGCTTAATATATATTTTACATGTACTTGTGGTCTCTTCCATTAGAATATAAGTTCATTATAATTAGGGATGATTTCATTTTTTGTACTTTGTATCCCCAACACTTTGATCAGTGTCTGGAACATGGGAGATGCTTAACAAATACTCGTTGATTGATTGAACATGTCACTCCCCTACTCAACACACTCTAGTGGCTCTTAATTATCTCTACTATTAAACACAAACCACTTCATTTGGTTTTTTAAAGCCCCTCGCAACCTGGTTCCAAATCCCCAACACTAGCACAATGCTTCTCATGTTGTTGTTGCTTTGTTCAGTTGTGTCCCACTCTTCGTGACCCCATTTGGAGTTTTCTTGGCAAAGATACCGGAGTGGTTTGCCATTTCCTTCTCCAGTCCATTTCACAGATGAGGAAACTGAGGCAAACATGGTTAAGTGACCTACTCAGGGTCACACAGCTAGTAAGGGTCTGAGGCCAGATTTGAAATCAGGAAGATTCCAGGTCTGGCACCACTAGCTGCAACTTCTCATGTAGTAAGTGTTTAATAAATGTTTGTTTCATTCATTCATTCATTCATTCATTCATTCATTCATCCTACCTCTCCACACTCATTATATATTACTCCTGCACTCTATGGCCCAACCAAACCATCCTTCTTAGTATTTCTCACACTATACTCCTTTGCTCCAGCTGTTCTCTCATAGCTAGAATGCACTCTTTCCATTCTCTTGTCTCTTCATTGACTCAGCTCAATCACCATCTTTTGTAGGCACCTTCCTGATCCTCTGAAACACTAGTTGGGGGATTCTTAACCATTTTTGACATCATGGATTCCTTTGGCAGGCTGATGAAGCCTACAGATGGACCTCTTCTCAGAATAGCATTTTTAAATGCATAAAATAAAAATATGTAGAATTTTAAAGGAAACCAATTATACTGAAATACAGTTATCAAAATATTTAAAAAACATGTTCACAGACCCCAGGTTAAGAATCCCTGAACTAGCGTCCCTCTCTCCAAACTACCTGGTGTTTATTTTGTATATATACCTTACAAAAATGCATATATGTGTGTGTATATGTTGTTGATTATTTCACTCTTCAGGGCTAGACCAGTAGAGCATAAACTTCGGCAGAACCCAAACTAGAAGGGTCTTAAAGCTCATACTACTCTCTGACCCCTCACTAAGTTTGGAAGGCCCATCGCCAGAGAGTGATGAATTTTTTTGACCATAGTGACTCATGAAAAGCATTGATCAAGACACGGAAGGACTGCGATGTGCAGCAGGGAAGGCACACATTGAGGAAGTCACAGATCCCTGAGGGTTAAAATAACTCTTTTAGAACTTGGGAAAGAGGTTGACCTGGGGAATCAGTGTCATGTGACTGGAAATAAACTTGCAAATAAAGCCCATATGAACCACAGAAACTCAGCCCTGGCCCTCACCAGCAAACATGCGAGCCTCATCGGTGGGCACCTCTCTTGCGTGGCTCAGGTCACTCTTATTGCCCACCAGCATGACGACGATGGTGGCCTCTGCATGGTCATACAGCTCCTTCAGCCAGCGCTCCACCACGGTGTAAGTCTGGTGTTTGGTTAGGTCAAATACCAGCAGGGCCCCAACTGCCCCTCTGTAATACCTAGGAGGAAAAGTGAGAGAGGGACCTATAATTAGGCTAACCTCAGACACACAGAGAGGCATGGTGGTGTGATGTGGTTTGGTGCTGGGCGAAGAGAGTTGGACTTAGATTCAGGAGGACTTGAGTTCAAATTCTGCCCTGGACACTTATTGGCTGTTTGATCCTGAGCAAGTGACTTAACTACTCTCAGCCTCAGTTTGTACATCTGGAAAATGGGAATAATAACATCTATCTCACAGGGTTTTGTGAGGATTAAATGAGATAATAATCTAAAAGTGTTTCATAAACCTTAAAACACAATATGATGTTAGCATTTTTTTTTCACCAGACCTGTGATTTTATTAGTATAGGGAACTACCAGATGAGGAAACTCCCTCTAACACAACAATGCAGCTAGGCAGATGCTCTATAATTTGTCATTTTAGTTACTTAGGACACTGTGCCAGAGGCAAGATTTGAATTCAGGTCTTACTAAATTCTGGGTTGGCTCTCTATCCAGCATACCATGCTACACTTCAAATAAATGTCAACTCTTACCATTTTAAGTTCAGGAATGCAAGAATCACCATCTTGCAAATTTGACAAGTATATATTAAATGCAGTCAATCTACTTTTTTTTTTTTTGAGGCAATCAAGGTTAAGTGACTTGCCCACAGCCACACAGCTAGTAAGTGTCTGACATTGGATTTGAACTCAGATCTTCCTGACTTCAGGGCTGGTACTCTAGCTGCCCTGAGTGAGTCTACTTTCAAGACACTTAAGTAATGGAAATACAAAAACCAAAAAAAGGAAAAAAAATCCCTGCCTTCAAGTGGCTTGCATTCTTCTTGGGGTATGCATACAATATGTACAGAGATAGCGAAATAGAAGGTCATTTGAGGCCTGAGAGAATACCAACAACGGGAAGGATGGAGGTGGGGGAGAAGATCAGGAAAGGCTTCACTCTCTTCCTCACTCTCACTTGTTTTCAATCTCTCCCTGTGCACTGGGTGCTTCCCTGTTACCTATAAACATGCCCATCTCTCCCCCATCCTCAAAAAAACTTTCACTTGATCCTTCCATCCCCACTAGCTATTATCCCATTTCTCTCTTCCCCTTGGTGATTAAACTCCTTGAGAAGACTGTCTACAAAAGATGCTTCTACCTCCTTTCTTCTCACTTTCTTTTTAACTCTCCCATTTGGCTTCTAACTTCATTCAACTGAAACTGCCCTCCTCAAAGTTACCAGTGATCTCTCTTTTTAAAAAAAATTTATTTATTTGTTCATTTATTTATTTGGAGGGGTAAGTGACTTGCCCAGGGTCACACAGAGTCAAGTGTCTGAGGCTGGATTTGAACTCAGCTCCTCCTGACTCAGGGCTGGTGCTCTATCCACTGCGCCACCTAGCTGCCCCTCAGTTATCTATTAATTGAAAAAATCTAATGGCCTTTTCTTCAATTCTCAACCTTCTTGACCCCTCTGCAGCCATTGACCCTATTGATCACCCTTCTCTCCTCAATCTTCTCTTCTCTCTAGGTTTCTATGACCTTACTCTCTCCTGGTTCTCCTTCTACTGTCTGACCACTCCTTCTCAGCCTCTTTGCTAGATCTTCATCCAGCTTGCTCCCACTAAAGGAAGGAGTTCCTCAGGACTCTGTCCTGGTTCCTCTTCTCTTCTCCCTTTATACTGTTTCACTTGGTGATCTCATCCACTTCCATGGATTCAATTATCATCACTATGCAAATGATTCTCCATCTGCTTGTCCAGTCCTAACATCTTTCATAACATCCAGACTCACATTCCCAACTGTCTTTCTAAGATCTCAAACTCAATATCCTGTAGACATCTTGAACTCAACATGTCCCAAACTAAACTCATTATTTTTCCTCCTTAAACCCTCCCCTCTTCCTAACTTCCAGTTACTAGGAATGGAAGGTACCACCATCCTCCCAATCACCCAGTTTGCAGCCCTAGGTGTCATCCTCAATTCCTCATTCTCTCTCGTTCCCCCATGTCCAAACTGTTACCAATGGTTGTCAACTCTGCTTCACAACAACTCTCAAATCTGCCCCCTTCCCTCCTCTGATGCTGCCACCATCTTGGAGCAGGCCCACATCACCTCACGCCTAGACTATTACAATAACCTGCTGATTGGGGGTTCCTCTGTTTCAAGTCTTTCCTCACTCCAGTTTGTCCTTCCCTTAGCTGTGAAATTAATCTTCTGACTATGTCACCCCTGGTCAATAAACCTCAATGGCTCCCTATCACCTCCAAGATCAAACATAAAATCCTTTGTCTGGTGTTCACTGGCCTTTACAACCTTACTCTCTCCGAACTTTCCACTCTTTCTACCTTACTCCTCCCATATACCTGTCATCCAGTGACATTGGTGTATCTCCCAACTCTAAGAATTTCTTCTGGCTATCCTCCATGCCTGGAATACTCTCCCTCTTCACCTCTGCCTCCTGGCTTCCTTCTAGTATGAGCTAAAATCCCACCTTCTATTAGAAGCCTTTTCTGATGCTTCTTAATGCTAGTTTCTTCTGTCTGTTGATTAGCTCCAATTTATCTTGTGTATATATCGTTTGAATATAGTTGTTTTCAAGATGTCTCCCCATTAGACTGGGAGTTCCTTGAGGTAGGGACCATCCTTTGCCTTTCTTTGTATCTTCACCACTTAGCACAGTGCCTGGCACATAGTAGGTGCTTAATAAATGCTTACTGACTACATGACTGGAGGCAGTGATTACCTGAGCTGGGCCATGAAAGAAGACAAGTAGTCTGAGAGACAGAGATTAAGAGTGAGTGAATTTTGGGGGGGCAGCTAGGTGGCGCAATGCATGTAGCATAGGCCCTAGAGTCAGGAGGATCTGAGTTCAAGTCTAGCCTCAGACACTAGCTGGGGTGCCCTGAGCAAGTCACTTAACCCCAATTGCCTCCAAAGAATAAAAATTTAAAAAAATAAGGAAGAGTGAGTGAATTTCAAGCAAGGGGAAAAGCTATGCTCAGGAATGGAAGCTAGAATACAAAGTTTAGTTAGCAGCTAGTAAGTAATCCCACATGGTTAGATTATAGAGTTTGTAAAAGGGAGCAGTATGAAATAAAGCTGGAAAGGTAGATTTAAGTCACACTGAGAAGGGCCTTACATGCCCAGCTGAAGAGTTTATATTTTATTCCAAAGGCAATGGAGAGCCTTTGAAGGTTTTTGATGTTGTTAAGACAAGAATCACACGGACCTATTAATTTATGTTTTAGAGTTTCTGAGATAGAGAGACTGAAGATGCTAACAATCAGGACCCCTCTTGGCTAAAAGAGATGCCGGAAGAAGGTTACCCCCTAGCTACAACTCCAACTTAGAAAAACACTGTCAGAAACAATGGCACGATGCTCAAATTTGTTGTCAAGACCTTGAACAAGAGGATGGTTTGGCTAAGCAATCTTGCTTCTTCATAGTTAGTTGTGGAGAGACTAAGCAACTCTACCATTTTATAGAATAGCCTCAGAAACTGGTGGGACAACCACTTTTGCCTATAAGACTGTTAGCTGGACTCCCTGATGGGCAGGGAGAAATTGATGGCCACTTACCTCAGTGGATTCTAAGCAAAAGAGACCACCTATCAGTTTTTCAAAGACTAGCTGAACCAAACAATGGCTCAGAAACAGATATTTCAAGTGAAGACTCAGTATATTGTAACTCAGCAACCAGTCCAAATAGGGGAGAGGACTGAACCATCTTTCCTGCTTAGATCTTCAGCTATAAAGACTCCTAAGATATAGATATATCATAGGTAGGTAGGTAGGGAGAGAGAGAGAGAGAAGATATATGTATCATATCCATATCTTATATCTATATTGATATATTACTATACAGAGTATAGTAATACTCTAGCCTTGAGTTCATGTTTTAGGGATATAGTATAGTTATCCCTTCCATATCACAGGAGTTGGGGGCATACCACCCCCATGATCTGGAAAATCCACATAAAACTTTTTGGCTTTCCCTTCATACCAAAGAAGTCTGATTTTTTTTTCTTTTTCTTTTATGGGGTGCTTCCTGTACCTTATTGGGGTTAAACATTTGGTCATAGGCTGTCATCTGCTGGCCTTCAAACATCGCCTGTGACTTTCATAAAACTCCCCCAAATTCCGATTTAATTTCTTATGCCGACCCACAACGGATTGAAATTGCGACGGGGAAAGTCACAATGTAGAAGGGATAACTGTACTATAGTTGTAGTGATGACTATGATGGGCCCGTAACATTGACAGTTCAGGTCAAAGGGCAGAAAGGTCTGCCAATTACAGAACATTTAGTTCTGTTTGACCTTTGCCTAGATTGACCCATGAGGTTTCAGGGAAAACTAAAGTAGTTATATTTCTAACCAGATAACAATACTAACCTAAGTTATGTCTTGCATGTAATTGCATATGTTCCTTGGTGGTATATGAGGTAATTACTTCCCATTTATGTACCATGCATATTACCATAATTCTGCTTGTTTCTAGCCTACTGGCTGTGGGTTCTGTCCCTTAGGACTCTGTCCTGGGCCTTTTGATTTCTCCCTCTGCCATTTTACTTACTGATCTCATCAATTTCCATGGATTCAATGATCATCTCTATGCTGATGACTTTCAAATCTATTTACCTAGCCTTAACCTCTCTTCTACCCTCTAGACTCACATTTTCAGCTGCCTGTTGGATATCTAAAATTGGAGGTCCAGTAGACATCTCAAACTCACACAGCCAAAACTGAACTCATTATCTTTGCTCCTAAGCCCTCACCCCTTCCTGAAATTCCCTATTACTTCAAGGGGACCACCATTCTAGTCACACAGGTTCCCAAACTAGGTGTCAACCTTGACTCCCCACTCTTTCTCACCACCCATAGCCAATCTGTTACCAAGTTCTGTCAATTTTACCATAACATCTCTCCTATACATTCCCAACTTTGCTACCACCCTGATATAAGGGCTCTCATCACCTCATGCCAAGATTACTGCATTAACCTGCTAGTTGGTTTCCCTGCTTTAAGTCTCTCCCCACTCCAGTCTATCCTCTACTCAGATGTCAAATTAACCTTCTTAATCAATCTTCTGACCATGTCGTAACTTCAGGGGCCCTTTATCACCTCCAGGATCAAATGTAAAATCTTTTGTTTGATATTTACATCCCTTCATAACCTGACTCCTTACTATCTTTCCAGTCTTCTTTTCTTCTTCTTTTTTGCAGTCAGTCGGGGTTAAGTGGCTTATCCAGGGTCACACAGCAAGTAAGTATCTGAGGGTGGATTTAAACTCAGGTCTTCCTGTCTTCAGAGCTGGTGTTCTATCCACTTCTCCACCTACTTGCCCCGTGCCCCCAAGTCTTCTTATTCCTTACTCACTCCCCACATACTCTGAGATCCAGTGACACTGACCTCCTTGCTGTTTCTTAAACAAAATACTCCATCTCTCAACTGCAGACATTTGCCTTCCGTCTCTCACCTCTGCCTCTGGCTTTCTTCAAGTCCCAGCTAAAAGACCACCTTCTGAAAGAAGACTTTCCCAATCTCCCTTACCATTATGTCATCAATTTACCCTGTATTTATCTTGTTTGTAGGTAATTGTTTTCATGTTATCTCCCCCTTAGACCCTGACCTCCTTGAGAACAAACACCATCTTTGTATCCCCATTGCTTAGTACAACTGCCAGGCACAGAGTAGGTGCTTTATAAATGCTCCTTGACTTGACTTGTCTATTTGTAGGTATGTTGCTATTTAGGCATGTTCTGCTCTTGTGTTATTACTGCATTGCTGTATTTTGCTGATTATGCCTATTTACTTATATGGATATGCATGCATGCACTATTGTTACATGTGCATATAAGGTATCTGGCATATAATTTAAACCTGTAGCTACTAAAGTTCTATCTAGAGTTTGGGACTATGGACAAATATGCCCAAATGTACTCCAGTTGATTTGCTAGGGAGAGTAAATGTTTAACTAGGAGAATGTAAGGGAGATGGTTCTTAAAAGCCCAGGACCTAATCACTGAAAAGAGGCTGATAACAAGTTGTTAAACTAACTAAAAAATGCAGCTATGCCAGGTGATCTTGGTCTGAGCTGTTCCTTGAGTGAATAATATGCCACACCCCTGGGTAACTTTTAAAAATCAATCCAGGTAGAAGCCAAAAAGGAACCCAGCTCCAAATGAGACATGTAAAAGATTCATGGATTGAGATAAGGGAAGTCCATGAAAAGCTATATGGAGCTGAAAGAATAGACAATTGAGCAGAAGCAACTGCCAAAAGGATGGGGGCAAAGACTCTGGGAGGGAAAGAGGATGTTTGGGTTAATTAGTCATGTAGAGTCTCATAATGAAACCATCCCTAATCTAAAGACCCCAGTTCAGTAATTCTTATCTCCTTTCTCTAGTCGGGCTCCCTGGTTGAAACCCGAAACCTTTCTGGGTGTGGGGAAAGTCTATTTACCTTCTTTGTTTTAAAGATTTACTTTGTTTTTATAAACAGAATTAACCATAAGTCTTTTCTAGTCTAGATTTACTTATTGGAAATGAAGTCGGGAGGATGCAATTGAAAGTGGAGCACCCCCAGAAAAGAGAGTCAGACACTGAAGTGTTTTGCTAAAGAGCTCTCTGGTTGGGGGCTCGGAGCTAAATATATATCTATATATATTATATATATATCAAGAGAAAAATTACAGATTCTTTTATACAACTTCCTAGAGCAGAGAAGGAACATATCAGGAAACCCATCTAAGCAACAATCTGTAGTAGGGTGTGTATGGGGTCTGGGGCAAATAGGAGCAATTGAGCAACTCTGCTCACTATACTTTCCTACTACTGCTACATATGAACAGGGGTGTTGGCAAAAAAAAACCAACTGTATAGATAGAAGCTATTGTTATAGTTCATTTCATCATCTCACTTCCCTATTCTTAAACACAGACTCCCTATGTGTTTCTCCCTTGCCCCCATCCCAGACTCACGCTGAAGTGATGGCACGGTATCGTTCCAGCCCAGCTGTGTCCCAGATTTGGGCTTTGACAGCTGCTGTCCCTAGCAACACAGTTCGAGTAGAGAATTCCACCCCAATGGTTGTCCGACTGTCATGGCTGAACTCATTTCGTGTGAATCTTGACAATAGGTTGGTCTTCCCCACTCCAGATTCCCCTATCAGCACCACTGGGAAGAGATATTGAAGAAGAGAAATGTTAAAGGATGATGGTGACTCCAGTGATGAGTGCTAGCTAACCACCTGCTAGGTGTAACAAACTCAATAATCCACCATTTTCTCTCTGCATCTCTGCCTTTTCTTGGTCTCTTCCTGAGCATTTCATTTGGTTTCTCTCTGCCTTCAATCTTCTTTGCATCTGTTTCTAATATTCTCTGTTTCTATGTTTCTTCTGTTTTTCTCTCTGTCTCCCAGGGGTCATTGCTGTTCTGGGGTATTTGGGGATGGTCTGGCCGCAGTACAAGTTGTCTCAATTTCTGGTATTTCTGAGCACCCCATAACTCTTTTTCTGTCTCTGTTACAAATGAGTCCTACCCAAAGCCTGACTAGCTGTCTATATATCTCCTTTTTCTCCCTGTCCCTGTGACAGCATTACAGGGAGGCTGAGTCTGCACTTAAGTTCTAGGGGATACTATGGTCTTATCCATGGCAAAGAGGGACCCAAAATGTCAGAATGATCGTCGAGTGAGGGCTCTCTCTTCTATGGGCTAAAGAGGTCAGAGAGGGGACCAGAGGAGGCAGAGAGGGAAGGAGAAAGCCTAGGGACAAAAAAGTTGGACTGGAGAGAAGGGATTGCTGAAAGCAGGGCAGAAGAGTTTCCTGGTGTATGCTGGGGGGCTAGGTTTCTACCTTCTAACACCTCTGACTATGTTATAGAAAAACCATGGGGGAGAATGGAAATGTCCTTAAAAGCTAAAATGTCTAATTTTTCAAAAGAAAGTATAGTATATTTGAGCCTGTGTATGTATGTTTCTTTTTCTTTTCTTCTTTTTTTTTTTGAGGCAATTGGGATTAAGTGACTTGCCCACAGTCACTAGGTGTCTAAGGCTGGATTTGAAGTCAGGTCCTCCTGACTCCAGGGATAGTACTCTATTCATTGCGCCTGTTTCTTACAATTATTAGCAATGTCTAGATGTGGATATTTATGCCTGCTTGCACTTGTGTGTATATGTAGAAAGGGAGGAGTATCATGTGCTCTTTTATATATATTTGTACATATGTGTATACACATATACACACATGCTAATCGAGTTCTAGAATTTAATCAACCAACATTTATTAAGTGCCACTCATTATTCACAGAATTTGAACTGAAAGGGGGTCAAAGATCATCTGGTTGATTTTAAAGATATAGACATCTGCGAGAGGCAGGGAGATTTAAGTGATTTATCCAATCACACAGCAAATTAGTGTGGTAAGATCAGGAATTGAAGCTGGATTCTTTGACTCTGTAAAGTGAAAAAGGGTACAGGACTGGAAATCTAATTGCAATTCTTTTAATCACTGCCTGTGTCACCTTGGAATTAGGGTTAATTTACGTGGGCCTTGGTTCCCTCATCTGTAAAATGAGGGGTTTGGACTAGTTGGCCTTTTTCCAGGCTAAATCCAAGATCCTATAAATCCAATGTTCTTTCTAGTACAAACTGCCACTCTTGGTCTGGATACAAATATACTTAAGAGTTAGCATTTAGGGGCAGGTAGGTGGTGTAGTGGATGGAGCACTGGCCCTGAAGTCAGGAGGACCTGAGTTCAAATCCAGCCTCAGATCAAACACTTGACAAGTACTAGCTGTGTGACCTTGGGTAAGTCACTTAACCCCGATTGCCTCACTTAAAAAAAAAAAGAGTTAGCATTTAAATAGCACCTTAAGGTTTGCAAAGCACTTTGCAAATGTTATCTCATTTTATCCTTAGAACCCTGGGAAGTAGATGCTATTATTATCCCCATTTTATAGATAAGGAAATTAAGGCACACAGAGAATAAGTGACTTGCTCATAGTAATACAACTAGTGCAAATCTGAGAATGGATTTGAACTCAGGTCTTCCTGACTCCAGGTCCAAGACTCTAACCCCTGTGCCACCTTACTGCCTCTTTCTTTTATGTATTATGTGCCCTGTATGTGAGGGTACCAGGCATGCATATATTTGCATGTCTGTGAGCATATGCATGCATGTCTGTATGTACGTACGTGGATAGGTATGTGTATTTGGAGACAAGTTTCCATGTAAGAATATTCATGTATATATGTGTATCTAGGTCCTTCTGTCTGTTTGTGTGTGTGTGTGTGTGTGTGTGTGTGTGTGTGTGTGTGTGTCTGTCTGTCTGTCTGTCTGTCTGTCTGTCTCTCTGGCCCTCACCCAAAGCCCTATAAGCTAAGAGGATGGGCTTCTCTATCCTTCTCCTGGGCACCAGAGCACTGCTGCTCCTTACTCTGTTCTTGTCCACCCCCACCTTTCTCAGGACAGAAGGGGTGCAGCTTTCCCCAGCTCCAGAGTAAATGTCCCATTGCCCTCTAGGGAGTTAGAGCCTGAGTAAGGGCTGGGTCTGGGAGAGGCTTGGTGGGTGGGGTGGACTGGGGAAGCTGAGTCTTACACTGTCTTACATTGTACACCCTGCCCTAAAGGGAGAGTAGGGTGTAAAAGAAGGCCACCAATAGGGATGGCCACACATGCAAATACAGAAAGGGGACAGAGTGTGCAACTGTTGTTCTAAGGGAGACCTCCAAGAAGAATAAGAGACAGGGGGAGGGAAGTGGGGGCCCAGAATCCAGATGCTCTTGTTTCTTGAGGGTGAGACTTTATATCCCCAGCACCTAGTACAGTGCCTGGTACATAGTAGGTGCTTAGTAAATGTTTCTTGATTGCCTGATTAGGGGAAAGCTCACTTTCCAACTCAGAAGATCATATACTTAAAGCTTGATGGTACTTTAGAGATCAACTAGCCTAATTCTTTCATTTGACATACAAGGAAACTGAGGCCCAGAAAAGTTAAGTGATTTAACAAAGGCTACAAGAGTGATAAGTGGCAGAACCCTAGTCCTATACCTCTAAACCCCAGTGTTCTTTACACTGTTGTTCAGTAATTTTTAGTTGTGTCTGACTCTTCAAGACCCCATTTAGGGGTTTTCTTGGCAAAGATACTGCACTTTCCTTCTTCAGCTCATTTTACAGATGAGGAAACTGAGGCAAACAGGGTTAAGTGACTTTCCTGGGGTCACACAGCTAAGCAGTGTCTAAGGCCAGATTTGAACTCAGGTCTTCCGGACTCCAGGACTGACAGTCTCCACTGCACCACTTAGCTGCCTCCCCCTGCACCATATCACCTTCCAAAAAGCCCCCTTCCTTAACTGAGAGCCTCCACGTCACATAACCCCTCCCACTGTCTCTATTTCAACACAAAATAAGGAGACCCACCCTCTTCTATTCCTTTCTTCCTTTCAGGTCCTCCAAGTCCCTGTTCCTTTCTTTCTTTAGGGGGGACCTCAGTGAGCAGAGGGGTTCTTCCTAAAGTCTAACCTCCATTACTTAACTACAGACCCTGGAGCAGAGGTGTGTGGCTAGGTTTTTTTTTCCTGATTATAAGTGATCCCACCATTAAGAAACTATCCTCATTATTACCGATACAGACTCAGGAACCCTCTCTGCCTCTTGTCACTGTAGAGACCTTTGTAATCTGGTGGAATGATTGGCTACGGAAGGGCTCTAGTAGAAAACAGAAGCAGAGAGTGGGGGCCTCTCATTGTACTCTTTCTAGTGTCTAAGTCTCAGTTTCCCCCATAGACCCCAACTCACCCTTGAAGACAAAGTTATAATCCTCTTCTGCTCCGTTTCCCATCTTGGTCCCGCATCGAGTGTGTGTGTGTATGAATATGTGCTGTTGGAGTGAGAAGGGTGGGTGGAAAATGTGTTTAGGGCGTTGGCTCTATGCCCCTCAAACCTCTGCTCTCTGGAGGCCTTGACCTGACTCTCTTCTCATTGGGGACAGTCGGCCTTTGCAGTGGGAAGGAACAAGGACAGACTCCGTCACTCCTGGTGGGCTGGGGAGTCTCAACGAATTAGAAAGGGGACGGGTCACAAGGAGAGGACGGAAGCAGCAGAGAACAGGAAGAGCCAGGCAGCTGGAGACCTGGGGCCCAGGTGGGTGGAGAGAGTGATGACGTCACGACAGGTTGGACAGGTTGGGTGTCTCTCAGGCGCTGGCCCTGGGTGGGGAGCAGGACAGATTTCTTAGGACAGGTTGGGGGAGGAAAATAGGACCCAGGAGGCTGAACAGAGCAGGGCCAACTAAGTTAGCATCATTAAGCTTTCCTGGTCTTTGGCAGAACTAGTTAGCCTCTGATCTTAGGTCTACAACAACCAGGTGGGGAAAACAGAAAGAATCCTGTCCTCAGCTCCCACAGTGCAGAAGCAGGCAGAGCAGGCAAGCTAAGGGGGCTTCGAGAACAATCTCAATGAGGAAGGGCTATCAGTGTGGGCTGGAAGCTTACAATCTATAACACTTGCTGCTCTGGCAATGGGAGAAGGGCAAGTTAGCCAGGTACAGTTGCTATGGTAACAACCCCTCCCAGGGAGCCCAGGGCAGTAGGCTGGACAACCTTTTTTTGGGGGGGCAGGAGGGTAGGTTTTTTTTCTGTAGTTTTTTCCCCCAGGAAGTGAGGCTGGAATTTAGGGCTCTGCCTACTTTGGGAAACTGAGTAATTTACAGCAGGATTGGTGGCATGGAGGCTAGGTGGTTTGGGGGGGGAGCGGTCTCTGGAAGGCCAACTGAGATCTCTGAGTTAAGGAGCAAGAAACAGAGGACCATTGGGAAATGGGAAGAGCAAGGTAGAAAAAAAGACAGACTAAGGCAGCTAGAAAAGAAACAGGTCCTGTGCGGGGTGAATATACATGTGCACACACGTGAGTTAGGGGAGGATTTGGAGCTGAGGCAAGATAGCCTAAGGTCTCTGATCAACCTTTGGTCTAGGAGTTAGGCTGCCTGGACTCCAGGGCTCCCTGTTCTCTGGCCTGGGGCTTCTTTCCCAGCCCCATACTCTTGACAGAACATCTGAAAAGAGTTTGCAGATTCCAAATTAAGATTGTGTACATCTTTGTGTGTGTTGGGGGTGAAAAGGCAGTTAGACCCTTGAAGGAAGCCCTACTAGGAAGCTATTCTAGATAGCTCCTACTCATCTTCCAAACTAAGAAATAGATTCAAAATGGGTATGCCCAAAGATGGGGGTTGGAGGAAATAAAATGGTCACATCACCTTCCTGAAATAGGAGTTGAGGCACTGGGCTCCCCATGTATAAAATGTGACCCTCACTGTGTCCCTCCTCCCTAAACTCAGGCATCCATCCAGGCGTACTGCAGATTATGGATGATAGGTGGGAAACCACAGCCAAAAACCATTTGGCTCCCGATGAGAGGGGAAAGAATCTATTAAAAATGCACCCTAGGAGTGATCCCTTATCCATCTCAAAATCTGAGAGTTGGAAGGGCCTTCAGCAGCTTTCTAGTCCAATCCATACATCCAGGAAAGAAATCCTTACCATTAACATACCCCACAAGTGGTCATCTTTTCTCTGCTTTAACACCTCTAAGGACAGGAAGCCTACTCCCTCTCTTTTTTTTTTTTAATTTTTAGGCAATTGGGGTTAAGTGACTTGCCCAGGGTCACACAGCTACTAAGTGTCAAGTGTTTGGTCTGAGGCCAGATTTGAACTCAGGTCCTCCTGACTTCACAGCCGGTACTCTATCCACTGCGCCACCTAGCTGCCCCCTAGCCCACCCCCTCTCAAAGCAGCCCATTCTACTTCAGGACAGCTCTAATTGTTTTTCCTGACCTGTGGGAGCCTAAATCTGCCTATGTGAAACTTTTATTCACTTCCCAATGGGGCCAAACAGAACAAATCTAATCCTTCCTCTGTATCTCCCCCACTAAACACGCCCATCAAGAAAGAATCTAAGACATAAGACAGGTATTAAATAGTTTATTCAATGAGATTGGAAACCTTTCCCTTCAGACCTCAGGAAAGGTTCCCTTGGGGCCCTGCCCCCACCAAAGGGTTAGCCCTCCACCCTCATCCCCACTCTCAGGCCCATTATCCCCTGATTGCTATGATGCTGCCACTTGCGTGAGAGGATCTTCCAGGTACTGGACCAGGGCCTGGGCCTGTAAGAGGGTTAGTCAATTTAGCCACAAAAAACAACACCTAATGGAGTCAGAAACTGGAACATCCAGACTCCCAGTTCCACTCCCTCCCTCCCCATCATCTCAAACTTTTAAGCTCCATACACTCTTTTCCCCAGGGAATAGGATTGAGATTTCTGAGCTTCTTATTTCTACCCAGTCTAGAGAAGGGTTGGGTATAGGGAAGAGAGCTCAGAACTACCAAGATGAGGGCATGACGGGGTAGGGGTCTAGAGGAGAAAAGGTAACCCTATGGCATGGCAAGAACAGGAGACATTAACAAAAAAAAAAGAGAGAGATGGGATAAGGGATCACCTTGGCCTTCAGCATTCCAAAGCCCACAGTCTCTTTGGCGTACATACACAGCAACAGGTTTGCCACCCGAGTGATCGCCACCCGGCCCTCCTGCAGGAGTGGGAAATGTGATATATGACTACTTATTGGCCCCAGTTGTCCCCACCAACATGGTTTTTTGGAATAATGTAATACTTGTGTGATTTTAGGTAAACTCTCTGGGCCCCAATGTCCTTTGGGAGTTGGAATAAACAACTTCTGAGGTTTCTTCCAGCTCTAAATCTGGGATTCTATGATCTTTTCTAGGATCATATACTGCCATATACTCTCCTGTATCGTTCTCAATTTGATGTATTTAATTCTCAGCAAAACTCTAAGCTGTCAGGATAGGGACCCAAGGCACATGAAATGGTCTCTTTGGATGAGGTAGAAAATTAAAGTACCAGGCTCAGCTCCTTACTTTCTACTACTTGAGATTCTGCCCTAACAATGTTGTTGGGATCCCACCCCCATGATGCACTTTGGGAGCTTCTGTCTCCTCCTCCCTCCAACCATCCAGGATCCACTCCAGGTTTATCTACTGAGTTAAGGGTAATCAGAGTACAATGGAAACAACACTGAATTTGAAGTCAGAGGACCAAAGATTCAGAAGAATGTAAGCTCACGGACAGTAGGGATTGTTTTATGTTATGTCTTTGTACCCCTGCCCCAGTTCTTAGCACAGGGTCTGGTGCTTAATGATTGTCAAACTGAGTTAAATTTGAAGGTGCAAGCAGTCCTGAAGGTCAATGAGTCCAAGCTTCCCATTTCAAGATGAGGAAACAGGCTCTGAGAGGCTAAGGGACCTGCCTGAGAATATCAGGCATTTAAGTAATGTAGCCAATATTCAAACCCAGGTTCTCTAAATCTAAATCCAGCACTCATTCCATTATTAACATAGTCTAATCTGGGCTTTTGCTATGTTTGTGACCTGGGCATATCATTTAGCTTTCAGTTTTTTCATCAATAAAACACAAGGGGGTTGGATTAGAGGATCTCTTATGTCCCCTTCCTAAATCAATGACCCTAAGAATCCACCCACTAGGGGAATCCAGTCTAAATCCCTCCCCTCCAGGAGCTCCACTCTCTTCCTTCATACCATGCAGTCCATTAGGATGAATTTGAGATTGTCTTCGTTAAAGGCTTGGTTCCCATTCCGGTCATAGGCAGCCCAGATGTTACTAGCGATAGCAGCAGTGACCCTAGCATCCGTGTCCCCATAACCAGAGTAGGCCAGCAGGGAGCCTTCATTATTCAGCAACCTGGTGGGAGGGGAAATGGTTAACATGACCGACAGGAGAGTCCTATGCATTTGCCTGGGGTGAGAAGCCTGAGTTCCCTCTTCGAGATTCCGCTTTCCCCAGCGGGGTGAGGCCCCAAGCTAAAAGCCTCCCCCACTACACCTTCCAGCCCAGGGCTGAAAACCACTGCCTTCTCCCCTCCCCCCAACCCAAAACTCTCTTCTTCCCTCCCTCCCCCAACCTGCTCCTCATCCAGGCTTCATTTCCTTACTAACTCAAACTCTAGGAAGGCAAAGTTTGTTTCGTTTTTGTCTTTGAAACCCCCAGACCCCTGCACAGTGTCTGGCACCTAATAGGGATGCCTTAATAAATGCTGGTTGATTGAACCCCTGCCTGGGGTACGCCGAGCTCCCACTCCCCACTCCCAGGCCCGCCTAAAGGGCTGTCCTAATCCCAGCTAGAATGCATTGCATATTGCCCCCTTCTCTCCAGGGGATACCCCCTCTCCACTCTCATCCCAACACTTACAGTGTGCTCTGGACGCCTCCGGTGTTGGCTTGACTTAGCACCTGGGTCAGGGCCTTTGGGCGAAGCATGACGACGGCTCCAAATACCCGCAACCCAGTCTCCCTCCAGATCCCTAGGGTCTCCCCCCGGCCCGGCTCTGTCTGACGCTTCCCGTAGCCCTGGCCGCTTCCCCTGGAGCACACTGGGAGTTGTAGTCTCCAAGAGGAATGATCCTTACAGGCCTCCGCTGCAGAGCACCCTGGAAATTGTAGTTCTTCCTCAGCCCGCGAGGCATCTTGGGGGCTGTAGTTAAACCTGAGAAGAGTAAAAAATCCGGAGGATATTTAACCCGTTCTGGGAAAGTGGAGTAGTCTGGTTCGCTTGTAATAAGTCATTCATTTAATTTTTGTGAATGCGCAAATCTTTGCACTTTGCAAAGCACTTTCACATAAATCAGCAAGCATTTATTAAGCATTTATTATGTGCCAGGTACTGTGCTAAACCCAAGTTGCCCATAACAACTCTGTGGGGTAGAAAGGACAAACATTATTAATCTCTATTGTATATAGATGAGGATGAAAAGTTGTAACTCGCCCAAAGTCACACAGCTAGCTCCTGATTAAGCCATTGTTTCCCTGTCTAGTGCTCTTTTCACTACTGCATACTTCTTTTGTTTACTTAAGGGAAGGGGGTTAGAATGAGAGGGCATAAGGCATCAGGTATTAGATTCCAATCAATTAACAAGTATTTTTTAAACCAAAAATACCAGGTTCAAGTCCTGTCCCTGCCATACTTTGACTGGATAAATCTGAGCAAGTTATTTAACCTCTTTTCAGTAGGCAACCAAGGCTATA